TAATATGTATAAGTTCAGGAAGGGAGAATGCAGGGAGGAAGGGGACAGGCTGTTCTCACTGGTGGCCAGCGATAGGACGAGGGGTAATGGCCACAAGCTGAAGCATAAGAAGTTCCATCTCCAGGTGATGAGGAACTTCTTTACTGTTAGGGTGACAGAGCAGTGGAACAGGCTGCCCAGGGAGGTTGTGGAGTCTCCTTCTCTGGAGGTCTTCAAAACCCGCCTGGATGCCGCCCTGTGCCATGTGCTCTAGGTGTGCCTGCTTGAGCAGGAAGGTTGGACTAGATGATCTCTAGAGGTCCCTTCTAACCTCAAATATTCTGTGATTCTGTGACATGAATGGTAGTACTCTTTTCACCATTTCTCACACAAATTTGAAAAAAAAAATCTGTTATTTGTCATAACAAATACTATGAAAGGGCAATAAATCCTAGAGTACAAAATTTGGGAAATACCTAAAGAATGCAAACACATAATGTTAACAAGAGTTATTTTGACTCCCTCTGGACAGGAGCAAAATATTTATCACAGCATCCAGAATCCAAGTTTATTTCACATAAACAAACATGCTCCACAGCATTTTCTCACTATTTACAATAATGTTTATATTATTCAAAGGTACTTGGATATATTTAAATTCACCACTGAGCTAATAATAGCTCAGAGCCAGAGTGGAATTAGTTTGTTCAAAGCACTTAATCAGCATGCTGTGATATGTCAAGTTAAGTAGATGTTTGCATGCAATTCTATCATATTTAAATTACATACCTAAATAATCAGACACTGATTCTGGAATTTTATGCTGTATTTCTTAACTGTATCTTAAAAGAAATAAAAGCAACAAGGAGAAAAAGTTAAAACTTGTTTTAAACAATAAAGCAAGAGCTGCCAGCTTAAACTTTTCAGTACCTTGACATACTCTGGATCCCACTGCAAGCTCTCATAGGCTGAATAAGCTGCTTCTCTCCATTTACCAAGACTGTACAAGGCGGTTGATTTGTTGCAGTGCAACACAGCTATGTCTCTGGAACACCTACGAAAATGAACAGTATAATAGCTAAGTTTCTTTTTTAAAAAGGAAAATACACATAGTGCTTTATAGTAAACTATAAAGAAATAAATGCATATATACATATGTATACACACACACACCCATTCCAGCTAACAAAATTAGAAGAGGGAAAAAAAAACAAGTTTCAGAAAGTAAAGATAACTGAAATCTCAGCTACAACATCTCCTATTAACTTCCTATGGAGAATGCTAGGCTAATCTTTTTTTAAAAAGAATAGTATGCTACATGAGTGACTTCTGAAAAATCACTAGTAAGATGCAACAAGCAAAACTCACCGAATACCATGTCTTTTTCTCACGTGATTATGAGACACTAACACTGTGAAATTGGCTGTTCTCATCGTGTTTATCTCTGGACAAAAATACTAAAATATCCTACGTGCATAATCTGAATGTCAGGTTATCAAATGCAGATAACCTGAATTGTGCATAACCTGAACGTCAGTCAAAAATGACTGACGAAGTCAGTCATTTGTGTATGTCAAAAATGTAGATAACCTGAATGTCCCTACATCTACTGGACGCTTACAAAGGTTAAAGTCAACCTACCAGAGTACCATGGCAAGAAGACTCAAGTGAAGGTTAACAGACTAGAAACATCCAGACATTCAATGAGTGGAAGAGGGGAAAAAAAAGAGACAAGACACAGCATGAGCAGCAGCAGCTAAGCAGAAATATTTTGATTATCAGAAAACAGTCTAAAAACATTTTACTGTATCACCAGTTGATGAAGCCAATTGTATTATCCACATTTAAACAAGCTGAAGGAATAAAAGCATGTATTTGAGAGAATAAAATACGGTAATGTAGAGCCATCTGGATCCAAAGGAGAGTTCTGGGAAAGAGTTGCACAAAACCTGCAGGCCCAAGGGGTACCGAGGAGCCAGAAAAGACTATTTTGCCTGGGCTCAAATACGTTATAGGGCAGCACTTCATCCTCCATCGTGCCCCTACCTACGAGCCTGTCCTAAGGGCAGCTGTTTCAGCACACTGCTCCAAACACATTTAATGTATTTTGCACGTGAGCACAGCCTGAGGTTGCCTATAGGAACAGGAGACATGGAGGAGCCGACCAAAAGGGACCGCTGGACTCGCCCCGTTTCTCTCCCCAGACACCCTTTTACCAACCTTGGCCTAAATGGCTAAGTGAACAACCACAAGGAACGACTGACTAGGTTCAAAGTGCTGATACACAGCAGTCAGTAATGAATATTTAACGGTTAATTATTTCACTTTTAACAATGTTAGCAACTGATGTTAAGTGAGGATGTAAAACACTTAACATTTGAAAAAAAGTAATCAAATAGCTCTTCCCCTGAAAAACTCCTTTTGTCAAATCTTCAGATAATGTGAATGTCCAAACAGCAAAGCAACTTACATAAATCATTTTAAAAATAATCAAACTGCCAATATAAAAACAGGCCATGAACAAGAGTGGTGTTTGGCAGAATCACAGAAGTATTAATCCACAATATGTCAGCTAAAGGCAGAAACCTATTTAATGCACATCAGCAAACTGCAAGCAGATTCCCAAGCTCCAATTACACTAATTTATAATGAATGTTTATAGAATTTTTTGTTGTTTATATTGCCTATTGTTTATAGTGCCTAGTTCATCTCCCACATACATGTCAGGAATTATTCCTGATTTAGGTATTATAAGGAATTGGATATAAGGAATTATTATTCCTTATATTTCCTCATACACTAAAGTCAAATGTCAAGGAAGGAAATACAGTTCTGAGTCAATTGCAGCACAGCACAAGTTCCAGATTGCCAGATGGTTTATCCCTTGAAATCCAAGAACACTTACGGCATCCACTGACTTAAATAGGCGAGCGAGTGTAAAGCTTGGTCGTACTTCCTGATGGCCAAAGTGTAATTTCCATTCTTAAAATCGTAATTCCCAGCTTGGCGCATAAACTGTGCATGCTCCATGGCATCCATGCTGACTGAAAGCAAAAACAAAAATGACATAAAGCACTGAGTTATAAAGGACTTCCACCCCTCTCCTCCTCCCTCCCAAAATCCAGGCTTTGGATATTTGGAGAAAACAAGCAAACAAAACTGTTCTGTTTGCTGTATTTGAAATAGTCAAATAGAATTCAGGTGCCAACCTCATCTTCGCTGTTTATGTCTCAACTTCTATTTTTTTAATCAACTTTAGGCAAGTTGGTCTTCTGAATTTTTCTTTTTTTTTATCTCGTGTGTTAAATGACATTTTTAAAATTAGGATTACAAATTATTTAAATGTGTGCACACACACTAAGTCCTAAGGAGGAAAAATCTGGAGAAAAAACCTGGAAAACCCGGAGAAAAAAAGCCAAGTTCACACACTTAAGAACTATATGAACAAAAACATTTGAATTAGCTAAGTGCAAATTTTATTTACTTGTTTATAATCTTTAACCGTGGCTTTTCTTTCTTTTTCCTTCCTGTCCCATCTTTTTGGCTACGCGTTTAATAACCCACTTGCTAACAGAAAACGATTCCCACGCGCGCTTAGAGGGAGCAGGACAAGCAGAGGGCAGCCCAGAGCAGGGGCGGACGCGGCGCCTTAGGCGGGAGCCGAGACGGGAGCGGCGTTTGCCTCACAAACCTTGGCACGACCACCAAGGCCAGTCCCGCCAAGAGGAGCCCTGGGCTTTCCCAGCACCGAGTTACCAGCAGGCCTGGGACAGAGTGACACAACCTGCAGGACGGGAGGCGCCAAAACAAGCTGTCTGGCCACGTCAGAACAGAGAAAAACGGTGCTTTTTAAACAGGAAAGCACACACAAAAGAAGAAGTCCTACTGGCATACTCGGCAGGACTTCCCACAACAAAGAGGCGCTGGAGGTGCTGGATGTCACTGCTGCGGCGGCACAGAGGCTCCTGGCTTTGCTTCCCCTACCTAAGGGCAAAAACTGAGTCCATCGACAGGGCATCCGCACCACACAGCACACCTGAGGTGCCGGGGATGATGTGGTTAATTTATTAAGGCAAATAAAACTCTTGTGATGTCCCCTGCAATCCAACAACCCCCCTTGCTAACTCCAAAGGGCACGAGGAACCGCTACGAGATTCCCTGGCTACATACAGACCAGTAAGGAATCCCATTGATTTTAGGGAAGGGAGTGCCCAAGGAGTAACTGTGACACTGTTACTCGGGGCTAAGTAAAACCACGACTTTGCTGAGCGACGTGCATTGAGTCTGTATTATAAAGACTATCACTAGCCTGGCCAGCAAGGTCAGTGTGCTCGCAGTGCAGCTTCCCACATTCCACGTGCAGGGAATACTGAGGGGAAGTGCGAAGGAGGCAAAAAAAGAAAAGAAGATAAAAAAAGAAAAAAAGTATTTTAATTTAAAATTAAAAAAAAAAGAAAAAGTAATAGTGGAGTAGCAGTGCAAAGAATAAGAAGCAAATGTTAAAAGAGATGGATCCACACTGTTTTTTTGCAAATTTTAATTTTCTTTCCACATCTGAAGAATATTAAATAAATGACTTTCATCATGAAGAATCCTAAACCCATTTATCTGCGCAGGAGTTTCTTGAAGGAGGGGAACACTAGAGTTTGCCGTTCCTTAAATCACAGTTGAATTTCAGATTCATTCCAGTTTTTGTTATGGCAGTGCTTATACTCCGGCTGCAATTTTCAGCTGGAATTCTTTTTGCTCGCCTCACTTCCCCACTGCCCGGCAGAAGAGCTCCGACCACAGGCCGTGCTCTCCAAGGACTTCCCAGGACATTGTTCATCCAACTGGGACGCTGACCGGGGGCTCTGGCCATCACGGCCCAGGCTACAGGCCCAAGAGAGATCCAGGCCCATGAAAATCTGACCCCCGAGGCAGCTACCAGAAAAGCCGGTCTCGCTCTTGCCCAACATCCTCCTGGAGCATAAAGAGCCTTAGCTCGAAGCCGGTGGCCGAGCTGGATGATGACCTATTAAATGGAGTGTACTGGCCACGGCAAGCACTGAACAAAAACATCATTTATTACTCTGGCTTCAGCTGGCCTCTGCAAAGGGCAGAAAGCCAGGACCACAACTGCACTCGAAGGTAACTTAATGAAAACAAACGGTTTCTTAGTGAGACATATTGCCTCCTTTAGGAAGGGAGCACAGTGGGAAGGAGACAAAGAAAAATGCACGTAGGTAAGGCAGTCTAGTTGCTGTTAACTTGGTTAAAGACTCCCAAAATCACCAGCATGACTACAACAGCAAAATAAAAATAAAAAATATATTTTTTACAAAAAGCATATTCATCTCTCCTTGCAGCATTAGAACAAAAGATGATACAGTTAAAGCCACAACCTCCTCCAACTCCTACAGCTACCAATGGGCAAAATTCCCATTTACTTCACACGTGGCCAACTGTTCTACACGGTCCGTGTCCCACTGAACTGCTTCGGCCAGACTTCCCAAAGCTTCCCAAAGCTCAAGGCAGCTTTGGGAACAAGACAGGGTGTTTTTAAGACCACACTTTAACAGCTCCGACTCTAGCAGACAAGCTGGAAAACGTGAGCAGAGGGTGCTCAGAAAATCCCCTTGTCCCTCTCGGGAAATGTTGTGCTCCTTAGGCCAGTTACCACCTGGCAGAGACCAGCCTGTGATTTCTGGACACCTGAGGCCCTAACCCTGAGATCGACCCTGCGCAGCCTGTGCACAGCGGGTCACACGCTGACACTGAAACCATGCAGAGGAGACCCCAGAGCTGGGCGGTCTGCAAAGCAGAGCCTGCTAGTTACTAGCAGAGCAGAGCCCGTTCAATGACTGCTGCTGCAGAGGGTTCCGCGTGTGGGTTCCCGCCATGGCGGTGCCGGAGCAGCGCCTGCGTTCCCGGGCAGAGCAGCCCCAGGAATATGGAGCTGCACCTGCATTCCCAGGGCAAAGCAGCCCCGGGAACATGGAGCTGCGCCTGCATTCCCAGGGCAGAGCAGCCCCGGGAACACGGAGCTGCGCCTGCATTCCCGGGCAGAGCAGCCCCGGGAATATGGAGCTGCGCCTGCATTCCCAGGGCAAAGCAGCCCCGGGAACATGGAGCTGCGCCTGCATTCCCAGGGCAAAGCGGCAACAAGAAGTCACTGCGACCGGGTCACCACGGGACAGGCCGTGACTAGACTCGTTGGAAAACTTCTCCCAGACGCTGCCATCCTCCAGGATCTGTTCAGGCTGGAAAGCCTGATAAGGGCATTTGTGGCCACCCAAGCGCTTTACCCCACTGCCCTGCCACTACCTCAGGTCTGTCAATGAGTTTCAGGTCTGCCCTGGTCTACAGCTCCCAACCCCTGCAAAGCACACGGGCTCACCTTGGAGAGGCCGGTCCACGCAAATCCAAAGCCACCCGCCTGAGCCAGGCCTAGGACACAAAAGCCAGGTCTATCCCTTGAGAGCAACTGCGAGATTTCTCCAGGAAGTTCTCCTTTCTGCAGGAGAGGCTCTCTGGCTGTGGCACAGAACTAGGTCCAAAGTCCCCGAGCGCTCTGGGCTTCCTAACGAGCCTTCCCGGGAATGCTGGACATCTCGCAGGGCACAGATGCTCAGAGGGAAGATAAACTTCCTTATTGATGCTCAGCAAACACACCCCATGTGCCGGGACACGATCAGCACCGATGCTGCAGTGGCCTGAGGATACCTGGAGAGTCACGTATGAACCAGATAAGGAAAAATGAGCCCAATATCCGGGCTGGGACAAGTCAAACACAAACACAGGACGACAACGGCCTCCGCACCACCTTGCTCTAGGCAAGGCTTTTGCAAGGGACTATCCGTATGAGCCGAGCCTGGCTTCCTAACACCGCCATGGAGCAAAACCAGGAGCTGCCACCAGCGCCTTCCCGGGATTCGGGTGCCACCCCAGGCCACCCTTCCCGCCCCACATGTGCACCGCGTTTCTTCAAAGGTGGCTTCACAGTTGGAGCCGCTGCAAGGCGGGCGCTGCTCCCCTGCATATCCTGTTTTGCTAAGAGAAATGAAACTGGATTTTTGCTTTCTGTTTCAAACTATCCCCTCCCCTTGGCAACTTTCCAGTAACAGCCTGTACACTGATAAAAGAGGATTTAAGGCAGGCACGGAGCTTCATTTTCATGAGAAACTGGGTATACATATCACTACTTACAATCTCCAGTAGTACTACTTTAAAAGAAAAAAAATAATAATCCAAGGAGTCATCTTATACGTAGAAAGAGCAGTGCAAAGACATGTCCCATATTCTATCTAGAGAGTGCATGACTGTATTACTGAAAAGAGGAAAATATAACTGCAGACCCAAAACAGCAGGAGAGCCAGCCCTTCAGCCCACGCTCCGAGACAGCCTTGCAAGGCCTGGCCTTGCTCTGCCCCATGACGCTGCAGCCCCGGATGGGCAGAGGAGCAAGGGCAAGAAGCAGCCCTGGGGTTTCCTTTGCACAGATCAGCTCCAGACAATGCAACATCTGGAAAGGAAAAACCAAACAGGCCTCTCCCAAGAGCGAGGTTTTAAAGCTCGTGCACGGCTCGGAACCAACTCCAGCAAGCCTGGCTGCTCACAGGCAAAAAGCACAGAGACAGGTAGAAACCTCTCCCTTTTGCATATTTTTACAGGCAGATAAAAAAGCCTCCTCCCATTTGAAATAAACCCATTCCATCATCCTAAGGTTTGTTTCCTGTAAATTAAGCATGAAGGACAAACTACCCACACTTGGGCTAATTGGAAGATCCTAAATCATGAGCATCGATAACATGCATCAAGGACACCCCTAAATCATCCACCCACTCTTGGACTAATTGGAAGATCCATGCTTGAGCAGTTCGGAGAACTGATAACACATATCTACGGAATTCCTGACAAAAAGCAGGTGTCGGAACAAAGAACAGCCAATCCCAAAAGGACAAAACAGCATAAGGGGGGGGTTAATGACTTTATATCCCTACTTAAAATGTATAAAAACCTCTCGCGCAGATGCCTCGGGGTCCCTGGCAAGTCCCCTTTCT